GTCACAATACTGACTGACTGCGGTTACAATACTGACTGACTGCCGTCACAATACTGACTGACTGCGGTCACAATACTGACTGACTGCCGTCACAATACTGACTGACTGCGGTCACAATACTGACTGACTGCCGTCACAATACTGACTGACTGCGGTCACAATACTGACTGACTGCGGTCATAATACTGACTGACTGCGGTCACAATACTGACTGACTGCGGTCATAATACTGACTGGCTGCGGTCATAATACTGACAGGCTGCGGTCACAATACTGACTGGCTGAGCTCACAATACTGACTGACTGCGGTCATAATACTGACTGGCTGCGGCCGCACCGATTGACACTGCGGTCACAGTTATAAATGCGGATACAAAACTGATAAACTGCGGACAGAGAAGCCTAATTCTGGCAGAATGAGAGGACACAAGAGATGGTACGGGCATATCGGGCAATACAATACTCGTGGATGGACATGTTAGTGGACTCGGATTTAGCGAAGGAGAATGAGGGCAGTTTTCAAAGTAATTGTAAGTTCTTGCACTTATTAGGTCACATTGATTCAACAGCGTAGTAATGAATAATATTATGTAGAACCGGACAAACTTAAGTTCAGAGAAGTAAGGTTAGTATATAAATCAGAATGACATTCTGCCAGATAAGTCGAAGTTTTGGTATAGGCTGAAAATTCTGAATGACTTCATGAGCACGAGGACGGGGAAGAATAGCACTGTGCTTTATTATTGTGGACGTGATGGATGTAGAAGCAGAAGACCTAATAACTCTTGTTGCCAGGCCTGTAGGTACGAATAGAATTGTGTCGGGAGAATTGATTTTCAGGAACTGCCGTTCTGCCATGCCGTGTGTTTGAGTAGGCTATTACGCAAGCTTATTAGTTTATCACAGTAACTGCATAACTATAATCAAAGCGATGGTGCTCCACATGTTTTCTATTAAGTTTGTTCTCATTTATCAACTACTTTTTGCCACCATTACTGAATATTCTCTATATTTCCATTCTGGATGGGCGTGGTTGCCTGACTCGCTGGAACATATCATCGATTTCGAGCTTGCTATTGTTGCATTAACGGCATTATTAACCTTCAACTGTTTCAACTTCATTGATTGATATATTTAATTATATTAGTTAATAGTATTAAATTCATTCTAAGTGTTTAATTTATTTAATATTTACCAGAATATCAGTGAGATATGATGGATTGTTAAATGGGCATTTGGAGGCCAGAATATGGCATCAAATAAGGTAGCTTATTGGCGCTCAATAAGGTTTTAAATATGGCCGCCCACATCCATTGTTTTACATTTTTTGGTCAAATTGTTATGAATTCGTCCATAATTTTTTAATAAATTTTTCAACGATAATATTGCATTCTCACTCACTTTGATATGACTCAATGAAGACGCCATTTTGCTCCATTAGCCGCCATTTGCTCCACATCCCCATAAGTCTATCTAATTTAATGTATTCAAGTGTTTAACGCGTTACCTCAGCATACAATAACTTCTCTCAGCTATCAGCTAGCAGGAACACCGTAATCCAGACTAGTGAAACACTGATTCTAGATAACAATGCCGAATGTCTTCAGCCAATACTTGAGCATGCTCGATCATAAGCAGGCTCGATCATCCGTCCTCCCCTACTTTGGCCTAACCTCTTAAAATTCTTTGGCCTAACCTCTTAAAATTCCGGCTGAAACGACTCACAAACTTCTTGCAGCCAATGACTGGCTCAATCTGCTCACTTGCCTCGCTTTATTATTATACTACGAAGCATTTATCGTGGCGTCTGTTTCAAACGAACTTCGAGGGCACGTCATACATAAGATTAATAGCAAGCGAAAAATAAATAGACACAAGAAAGGACGGGAACTGATAAAATAACTAAGCACAACACAAGATTCATGGGCTCTACGAAATAGTTGTCTTTAGGCGTCGACGAAACATCTGCAACGAAGGAGCCGAAGTTACGAAAGCCGGCAGACTGTTTCAGGTGGGACGCCTGTCGGTGACCACCACTGTCGTGCTTCAAATGGACTATCATGATCCCTTCCCTGAAGAACGTAGCCTACAACACATCTTGACTGTAACATTATCAGCCGCACGCCACCAGACAGATCACATCCATTGAATTAGATTAATCAACCCACAGGAAAATAAGCCTGGCGTCGTATGGCCCTGCGTCGTCTGCCAACACGCGAAAAAATTTTACACCACCCTGACGGAGCGCGCCGGAGCCGTCCGTATCTGTCCCGTCTGTCGAATCAGCCCACGGTCGAACGGCCACGCGTCGTACGACGATAGATTTTGGAACAGAACTGTGCTTTCTGAAACCTAACCCCGGATGTTGAGCTAAAACTGACGGTCTGGTGGTGCACGGCAGGATGCATGCAGTTCCACTGGCGACCTGGGCTGGTTGGTCGCAGTCCGTTGTCCGCAAGTTACAGTTCGAGCTAAAGTCAGGGTATGAAGTGATGATTCGATGCAACGTTCAGTGGTGCATAACCATTACTCTGTGGGCTATTCGCTTCAGAATGTGGTGGCGTAAAGCTCCTAATATTTGAAGCAAGATGATGTCACGGGCTGGTTACCGACGGATGACTTAATCCGCGGCTGATTGGTGGTCATCCGGAAATATGCTAGGCGTTCCTTTCAAGGCTGATTGGTGCACAAATTTAGTGGTGCACGGCTGCGTACCCTTCCAAGGTTCTGGCGGCGGCGACCCGGAACGCTCTGTCGCCGACGGCAGATAAACGTGTAGTTGGTACCACGAGGTCCGCTGTTGATGACGAGCGCAATCGTCTTCTACATTGCAGATCCGACACGCGCTGCAGACCTTCCGTGAGACAAAGAGGCGCCAAACCGTGAAGGCATCGGAATGTCAGAACAGCGACTTTGAACTGTTTGAACTGCGTGCGCTGCTGAATGCGCAGCCATTGAAGATCACGTAAACTCGGCGTCACATAGTCGAATTTTCGCTTATTGTACACGAGTTGAGCAGCTGCGTTTATTACGGATTGCAGTTTATTAAGTGCCGGGGTCGGAAGTTCATAAAGTGTGGCATTACCATAGTCCAATCTGGTCAAAACGAGCGCAACCACAAGGGCTTCAATTAAGGACCGGTCTCGAAAGACAGCGGCTGATGCTACGTATTCGTCGCAGAGCGCCAAAGCAAGCGGTGGTGATTTTGGCTCTGTGGCTGTTCATTGAAAGTTCCAAGTCCAGCAGAATGCCTAGCTGCTGGTTGCGAACTGCGGACGCAGGCATGACGAACTCGTTGCCCACGAGAACAGGGTTGGCCGGAAGCTGCTGCTGGTGCCGAGCAGTCGCAAACCAAATGAAGTAGTTTTTTTGAGCCGTGAGGTGTATGGAGGACGACTCCACTTCCTCAAGAAGCAGACAAAACAACGAAGTAGTTTTTGATTCATTGAGCTGGAGCCGGCTGGAGCGCATCCAGTCTGAGACAGCGTCCATGCAGACAGACATTCGATCCTGCAACGTTGCGGCGTCAGCTGGTGCACCGTAGCGATAAATTTGGGTGTCGTCGGCGAACATTTGTGGATTCAAAATATGTGAATCAATTTTATGCAATAAGTCGACAGTATATAACAGGAAGAGGAGGATCGGGCCCGAGAACTGATTACTGTGGTACGCCGCAAGTGACCAACGATAGCGTAGAAGAGGAGGTCGAACGCTTTGGAATCTATTGCTGAGATAGGATTCGAAACACAGCAGAACTGTGCCACGCAGGCCGAAGAGATGACAAGTCGACGCAATAAAGTGGCGTGGTCGACCGTGTCAAACATGAGTTTTTTCATCGTGACGTTTTCATTCTATTACTCTACCTCTCCAGCAGTTGAGTTGTGACAACCATAGTCGGCGAAACATGAAATCTTTACTTGATTATCCCGCCCGCCTGAGATTCGAGCGTCGCATATATAGTCATAG